TTATTATTATTATTATATTTCTTTATCTCTTGTTGTATTTTTATAAAAGAAAGAATAAAAGTAGCATGGTATTTTACCATTAAGGCATAATGCACATCCACTGTGAAATCACAACACTCATCCAACTGCTTTTCAGAGTCAAACCACGCTGACACTTGAAAAGGTTAGGTTGACTCATATTATTTATTTTAACATTTTATAGAAAAAACATCTCATACAATGAAAGGAAAGCTAACAATGTTTGCAGATACTGCTGCATTTCTTGAAGTTATTAATTTCTTAGGACTGTAGGAAGCAGTTTATTTAAGGAAACAGACTTTCCCACATTAATCTATTACAGTAACAATGCTGCTTGTATGTGGTTAGTATCAACTGGTCATTTTCACCAATTCACTGTAGGCTACACCTAAAAGAACCATCCCCCTTAGCAGAATTTAGCTTTACATATTGCCTGGGGAATGATTTTTTTACTTCCTTACAGAGAAGGTGTGGATTATAAACGAGATTTTCAGCTAGATAAATGAAAATTCAAGCACAGACTGGAGAGTCACTCTGTGCCAGTGGAAACCAGATGAAAGCTTTTCCTGATGGCCAGATGTCAGAAACAGACTTCTTTGAGTCAGGCAAGAAGAAAGAAGAAAAGAAAGAGGAAAATAAGGCTTGAGAAGAAGAGCTGTGCCAAATATCCTGAAAGTAAGTTATAGCAGGTGGAATGAGCAGTCCAGTGTTTGGAGCCCTCCTCTGAAATATCTTTCTACAGCTTGTTTGCATATTCCGTGCCATGTTTAATCCTTTTCACATCTCAACACTGCCTGTGTGCCTGGAAAGACAACTGCTACAGAACATGCACTGGGGACAGACAAAAGATAATTTTTTTCCTGTAGTATTTACAGCTTTTTTACCTACATTTGCCTCTCACTGACAGAGGAGAGACACAAACCACCTGAGAAGACCAGACAAGACCCCCTCACAAGCAAGAGAAAAATACACCATATCTTTTTACTGCACTTCAACTGCATCCAGTACTGAGGAGGAAGCTATCCACAGCACTGTAGTTAGTTGGTTGAGACATCTCATGCTGCACTGATTCCTGAGCTTCTGTGCCTAAGTAATGGGTGACACCAAAGGCCCTTAAAATTTGCCATTTTTCTCTGGGTATCTCATGATTAGAAACCAATTTTTCATCACTACTACAAATTAACTACCATTAATTTATTCACAGTGAAGTGTGGAAAACCAAAACACACACAGTGAGATATATGAATTTCCTATCTTCTGCTAAAGTATTGTCAGTTTTTGGAGCAAAATAAATGTGAGTGGACCTAGCACTACCATTTACAAGCCAATGTGAACATTCAATGCTTTCTGGCATTTCACAGTGTTAGTTTTAATTAATCTGTACATTTTCTGCATACAAAGCCAATCTTTGTGATACATAACTCACCTGAACCCTCCCATCAATTTGCCTGGAACCTACCCTTCACTATTCACTTTCACACAATTCCAGCTATCTCATTATCACAATTGTTTAATTGTTTTCTGCATTTTGTTGTGGCATAACATTTTTTGAAGTTTATACTGAAATCTCTCTCCTTTTTAATTTTTTTTTAACATGGAACTATTTTTACATTGAAAGCCTTTACTTCTCCTACATCTAATGCAGACTTTGTCTCTGTTTTATCTTGAACATGGTCCTCAAGTGCATAGCCCCTCCTAAAATATGCTGCAAAGTGCCTGAACTATAACTGACACAAAATAGAGCCAAAAGGGCAGAAACCTTGCACCTTGGACATCAATTGCTATATTTTGAAAAACAGTGAATTGCTCCTTTTTCAAGTGAGAAAATATGCTCACAACAACTGAAAATGTTCTCTCCAAACTCATGCAGTTCTTCATAATCCTTCATGTCTCTTCTGAAAATGTTTAAAAAGGAACAGGAAGGATGCGTCATTTGAGTATACTTCATGCCATTTCACTAACTAGCCTCTAGTTAGCTCAGATTCCTGTTTGGGTCAGTGGGATTGTTCCTTGAGAAGGAAATATAAAAATGCACTCATTAACAGCAATCCTTTGAGTCTGATGGCATATACTATGAAATCTTGGAGAGTCTTTATTAGATAGGAAGAGAATAAATTATTATTAAAAGAGGCCCATCATACTGTTCTTTGATCCTGGAAATATATCCTTCTTGAGCACCATAAGAATAATGGCTTATACCCTCCTTGATCAATGAGTGTAAATTGACATCCATATACATATATGCACATAAATAAAGACATATAAATAAATATACATTGCAATTTGTGAAGTTATTGAGAAGTTCATGTCCATATTATGTTCAATTTGGGGAACATGGGCCCTGGGCAACTTGCTTATTTGTAAGCATTACTATGTAATTAATGTAATTTTACTGCAAAGATAAGAATGTAAAGGCTTCTGTTTGTTTTCAGGGTTGGGAGGGGAGATTGTATTTTGTATTATTTTTTTTAATTATGGTATAGAAATTTAACCTATTAATGTGCTTGAACTTTTTTGTACATATAAAGATAAAAATTTTAAAAAATAAAAAGTACAGGATTTAAGATTCATTCCTGTGTTTTTATGTGCCATGCGTGAAAAACTTACAAGCATAGATGAGGGCAAGGAAACCAAGTTACGAAATAGAAGTAATCAGTGTCTCATTGTTTTTGTGAATTTTTTTCAGTTTTTTTCAGATTTCTTTACAGGATAGATACATATATATCAGAAGTTGGCATTGTCATAGACCCTTCACACAAATTATAAAAGTATTTAAAAGTAGTTTAATGAGACTTTGTCTAACTTGAATCATTCTTCTTGCCCAATAGGTGCACCAATACATATATTTTTTAAATTTATATGGATTTCTGAAGTAGCCTAGCAGTCAGAGCCTGTCCCACCCCCATCCTGGACCAGAGCATTGGAGGAAACTGGGAACAGACAGTCAGGGTCAGTAGTCATGGAATCATAGAATCATAGAATATATCAACTTGGGAAGGACCCACAAGGATCATCGAGGTCCTGGCCCTGCACAGGACCATCCCCAAGAGTGTGCCATGCACCCAGGACTATTGTCCAAACACTTCTTGAACTTTGTCAGGCTGGTGCTGTGACCATATCCCTGGGGAGCTGTTCCAGTGCCCAAACATCCTCAGAGTAAAGAATATTTTCCTGATATCCAACCTAAACCTCGCCTGACACAGCTTCAGGCCAATCCCTTGGGTTCTATTCCTGGTTACCAGAGAGAGGAGGTCAGTGCCTGCTCCTCTGCTTCCCCTCACAAGGAAGTTGTAACTGCAGTGAGGTGTCCTCTAAGTCTCCTCCAGGCTGAAGAGACTAAGTCCCCTCAGCTGTTCCTCATAAAGCTTCCCCTCTACACACTTCACTATCTTTGTAGCGCTCCTTTGAATGTGCTCTAAGAACTTCATGTCTTTCTTATATTGTGGCACCCAGGATGCAAGATAAGGCCACACCAGCACAGAGAAAAGCAGGACAATCACCTTGCTCAACCAGCTCGTGATGCTGTGCTTTCATAAATGTTCCCTAGACTATGTTCCATTTTGGGTTCATTTTCTGTTTGGCTACATGTATGCTAATATGTGAGAGGACCAGAGATTATTCTGAAGTCAACTCATCACTTTTTATCATTTTTTCTAGTTTAAATTGTTTAAAATAACAGGAGGTCTACATGTCTACATTGATACCCACCAGGGTGTTATTTCTCTTAGGGGATGGTTAGGGTATGTGCTTACGCAGAGATGGGAGGGATACCACAAATGTTTGTGAAATTCAGTGTTGGTAATATAGTGAAGTAATGCACACAGGGAAACCCAGTAACAGCTTTGTGTATAAAATGATGTTGCTTGTCAGTGATTAAGTGAATCATAATCCATAATTCCATTTGTCAGCTCAGCATCATAGAAATCCATTTTTCACCCATTCCTAGTTTACTCTCTGCACTTCTGGCCTCTGTCACAGATAGGATCAACAAAGGCTAGAAAAGATCAAGACCATATGGTATGCTCTAAGAAATTAATTTAAAATCTTAGAAGTTAAATAGTTTAGTACTGCTCATCTCAGAAAAGAAATAATATAAGATAGGTAGGAAAAAGGCCTCCAAAATCCTCAATGAAGTGTAAAATCTGATTTGGATGACTTACACTGCCTTTGTCCAATAATTGGTAAACAACATATTAAGCTAATGAGATCTAGGCTTAAAACCAGATTAAGTTCATATCTCTTCTTCCAACTCATAATAAAATTAGAAAACACTTTGCCAAGAATGTTGTGGGTGCACATAGTACACTGGTCCAGAGAAACTGGAAAATAACATGGAAAAGAAATCTATTGTACGTTATTAAACAGGCAAACCACCACAGGAAGACCTCAAGGATTAAAATTGTCAAAGGCTGAAGGAGTACTAAGAGGAAGTCATAGGATGTAATTGCTCTGTTCTCCCTTCTCTTGAAATGCCAGGACACCATAAGCAAGACAGCCCCTTGGCTCCACACTGGTCCATCTCACACTCCCAGTTAAGCCCTGCCAGAACTACTTTGGTGCCTGGCCTCTTCTACCCTGCCTGCTGGGGTGCTGCCAAGAAGGGATTCAGCAGGAAATTCAGCCTGCTATCATCTTGGAAGAGGCTATTCCATAGTCAGGGGAGTCTGGAGCACAAGCTTCATCATCTGTCATGTAGCCCCTTTTGACAGGTCACAGAATCACAGGATGGCTGAGGCTGGAAGAGACCTCTGGAGGTCAGCATGTCCAACCCCCCTAACCAAGTGATCTCTCACAATCAGGTAAAGATGAA